AATATCTAAACATTCTTAGAGAACTGAAATAAACTGACAGAGGAACTACAGCCTCTCCAATAGTCTCCTTAAACTGATAAAGTCTCTACATAGGCTATGATTGCAGGTGATTTTGACTAGACACAGAGGGCTAAATTAGGCAAAATTTCATGATTTCTTTCAGCTGAAGAGACTTACTTCTTTATTGTTGTTGTTGTCTTTTTGAGGCAGGGTTTCACTATGCAGTTCAGGCTGACCTCAGGCTCCTTTTGTAGCCCAGGTTGGTCTCGAACTTGCAGTGATCCTCCTGCCTCAGACGCCTAAGTGATGGGATTATAAGAGTGCACTAGCTCCAGAGATCCAGCCATGGAGGGACTCAGGCAGCTTATTCGCCCGCCCTCTTGGTCTGCAGCTTGGGCCTGGAGAAGAACCTTTACCTGTGAGCCTACTGCTAGGCGATCTGAAAATCAAGCACCCTTCTCCCACCTGCCCCCTCCCCCCTTAGCTACTAGGGATAGATGTTTCAACATCTCTTGGGAGGATGACCATATGCAGTATAGCAAATATGGGGGATTTCCTTCTGTTTGAAGGCATAGGTTGTTTTCACTGTTTTGTTATGTTTCTTTTGCTCTATTCAGTATTCTCAATTGGTTTTACAACGTTCTATTTTTGGTTTGATTTTACAATACGTAATTGACTGGACAGCTGTTGTTAAGTTAAAGAGATATACCATAGTACTTATTACTACTATCCCAGTATTCTACTGTGAAATCCTGTATCAATTTCACTGCATTGTCTCGATTGGCTTTGTTCTGTCTTGAGTTGTTGCATTTTTACTACTTTCAAAATTAAAAAAAAAATACATGTTAAGATACATGCATGTGTAGGATCTATAAACAGTTTATGAGAACTGATCTTATGACAATTGATGAAATGAACAGATACTTTGAAGAAAAGGAGACTCCAGTGCTGATCCTGGAGTGTCATAATGTGAAACCCAGCAATAGTGTTATTCTTTGTTCAGAGTGATATTAACCTGCTCGGATTTATTCAAAGTCAACATAATTGAAGATATGGGTAACTGCATATATGTTTAAGTGTATAGGATTAAATACCATATTCCTAAGTTTTTGTTGGATAGTTGAACAGAACTGGTTGCAATCTCACTGTTTGAATCCCCACTTTATATGCTCCACTTTAGTATCTTGAATAACTATTTGTAAGAAGACAATCTGTAATCATCAACTAGTGATTTCTTACCATTTATTTTTTTCTTTGAAATTATGTATTATTTCTACCCGTTTTCTGTTTTGTTTAGTCTTTCTTTAAATTAAATTTTTAAAAAAGACACTACAGTACCCAGGGCTGATCACGGAGTGTCATGATGTGAAATCCAGCAATACTGTTATTCTTTGTTCAGAATGATTTTAACCTGCTTTAGTTTGTTTAATCTAAACATAAATGAAGATATGGATAACTGCATGTATGTTTAAATGTATAGGATTGACAACCATGTTACTAAGTTTTTGTTGGACAGTTGATTAGAACTTTTTGCAGTCTCTCTGTTTGAATTCCCACTTTATATGTTCCATTTTTGTACCTTGAACAACTATTTGTAAAATGACAACATCAACTACTGATTTCTTACTGTTTTTTTTCCTTTGAACATATGTACTATTTCTACCTGTTTTCTGTTTTGTTTAATCTTTCTTTAAATAAAAAAAAAAAGAGTGTACTACCACGCCCAGCACAAGGCTTACTATTTTTATAAAAAGTAAAAAGAATCAGAATGAGAAGATGCTGTCAGTAAGGTAAGACATGTAGGGCTAACATTTAATAAGGGAGAATAAGGGATATGCTGGTAGATGCATAATTCTACAACAAGTAGTGAGGAAACACTGAGTAGGAAACAGCAACAACAATCGAATATTTTCACGCTGCTGGATTGGTAAGCTATCTTCATCTACAAGCACAGCACTCTTGTGAATCTTGCAATGGAGAAACGGGTAATGCTTTACTCCAGTTTACCCTAAGAGACTTCCATCTTATCCTAGAATTCTCAAGACCTAATCTCCACTTCAACCTGAAACTCTAAGAGTGAGCCTAGGAAAACTGAAAGAAGGCTACTCCATTCCCTGCCAAGCTAGAAGAGAAGCAGAGGAGAGAAAGTGAGCCATCCAAGCATAGTTATTTCAGAGATACAAGGAAAAAGTGACTGAGTTCTCACCGTGCTGTTTCGGACATCTATGTTGGGAAATTTCTTGTTGATGTACTTGACAGATGATTCCATGGACTTTTCCACTAAGAAAGGTGGCTTGGATTTGGGGTCTGAACAAGTCTGCACAGATAAATCAAACTGTTTTTCAACACTTTCTCCTGCCCCTCAGAAACATACTTCTTCCTGCATCATTCATTTTCAGTTTCTTAAGAAAGACAATCTGGGAATTAACTATAACAGTATCAGAGTAGATCAGCAACAAGTCCCAGGACAGTAAGCCAACTAAGAGCTAACTAACAACTTGGGAATTTTTTTTTTTTTTTACTTTTCAAACAGTTAAACCTGGGAATCTTGTCTTGCTAGGTAAAGCATAACATCTGCTTGGCCCTAGCACAAAGAGGAAACAGTTTCCCTGCCCTTCAACTGAAGCCGGAAGCAGTGAGCAAGCGACTGCTCAGAAGTTAGAATTTGTGACACACCACCCATTATATAAATATCTTATCCCAAAGGGCATTTATTAGAGACACGGGGACAGAGAAACCATGTTTCTAGTGATTTATTACAAAATACACAGAAGTTCTCGCACCCACATTCTATCATCTTTTCCAGGACGTACCATCTTTCTCTTTACTTCCTATGAATTTGCCGGGCCCCTGAACCCCCTCTTGTCACCGGCTTCTCCCAGTTTCACAGTTTCCATTCTATACAACATACACAAATAGAGCATGAGTTGTCTAAGATACAGTGCCTCAAGAGGCATCTACCTTTTAGAAATCTAAGTTTGTTTTTCCTATAAGGAAACTGCTTCCATGAGACGGTTTTTGCAGACTCAATTTTTAGATCATCTCAAGAGTGTGGGGGATCAGCAATATATAATAAAAAGACCCAGAATTCTAAACCTTTGCTCAGATCACTCAGAATTCTTCTCCCTGCCACCCTCACCCTAACCCTTAGCTCCAGCAAAAAGCAAGCGCTATCCCTGGAGTGAAAATCAGACCTAGAAAAGGGAGCCCCTAAAAAGAAGCCTTTCTCTGCCTCCTGAACCATCTGGCCTACACAATCTGAGCAATTTAAGGCCAGTCAGAGTGGGGGAAAAAGTAAGGGAAGTCTAACTTCTGGACCTGCCAACTCCAGGCGTCCCAGTCCTACCGACAGTAGAATTATACCCGTTCTGTTGCTCCTACTTACCTTCTTGATGTTGTACATACGGATGAGAACTCCCTGACCTCGATTATTCAGGATAGTGAGCTTCTCTGCTAATTTATGCTGGTAGGCAGAGGTCAAAGACATGATGGCCACCGAGGGAGAGGATCATCCAAACAGCAATGTCTGGTCTGCCCAAACACTCTCAGCCTGGGTGGTGACACCCTGCGGGCGGAGGAACTCAGGCTGGTTGGTGCACAAGTCTTCCTGTTGCCTCTGCAATTGGCTCATGGGCAACAGCAGTCACTATGGCTCACGGCCCTTTTTGGCCCCCTTGTGCTTCCTCTTGCACACTCAGCAAAGGAGACTTCCTCTTTCTGAGTCTTTTGGTAGGGCTGTGAAGTGGGTGGTGGCAGAGAAAAGGACAGGCTTGCAAGACTATAGAGTGGCACCAATCTTTTTGATCTTAACCTTCCACAAGTGTCCTGGAAAAAGTTCTACACCATACCAGCAAGTTATGTAATATCCCACCCCACACATTGCTATACTTTCCCTCTTTTATGTCCCCACCAAGAATGTGTCTACTGAAACTTAGGCCCCATCAATATTTTAGAACCCAGATCAAATCCCATCTACCCCTACCAATGTCAAATATTATATTGTACATTGCCCAAATAGATACAATTTTGTGTATTATGACTTACTATATTTTTAAGTAGATGTCTTATTTCTTTAAGTACCACATATTCTCCTAATGACAGGAACTGTTCCTAATATTTATATTCTTCCAAGGTTCTAGCACAGTGATTCTTAAACCGTCAATCCCTGTCCTCTGAGATTCAGATAGGTAGTTTAATGGAAGCCCCAGAAATCTGATTTTATATGTACCATAAGAGGTTTTGTTACAAAAGTTCAAGGGAACACATGATGAAAAGCACTGATTTAGAAACAATACCTCTTGGATACAGCTGCCACTCAGTAAATATACTGGCTTATTTGTTGAGTTATTATGATTACATTGAGATATAAGTCCATGAAAAAGAACCAAATAATCAAGATTAACAAGAGGAAATTAATGACCTTTAAATCTTAGAGGACTGAATAAATTTCACACTAAAATATTCTTGTCATTTGATCCAAACCTTAACCCTTAACTCAAGAACACTTGTAACTCATTTTAAGTTCCTTTCACAACACACACTAAAAAAGGCCCTAGGAAAAATTCAAAATCAGATAGTCATCTTTGTATTCATGTCTTTTCCAATACCTTTTCTCTGCTATTTAGTTATTCCCATTTCTCCAAATCTAGAGCTGTCACATTGTTCCAATAAACCCTGGTGATGAGGCAAGTAGGAACGGGGAGTCAGGACTGATTAGTATTATTGAAGGCATGTGTTTGCTCTCAAGAAAACATTTTTTTTTGAGACTATATTTTTTAAAGAAGCCTCAGGTGCCCATGGTTAAAATGTTAAATTTTAAACATCTCGAAGGGAGACTTTGAATTTTTGGAAAAGAGACTATCCTCCAGTTTATTTTCTGGATTATGTCCCTAAAAACTAGGACTCTGGAATAATGTAAAATTGGCCCTTAAAATCAGAATCACCTGCTGAAATCAAAGAAACCTGGAACCTACTAAAGAGGCTTGTGTGATTTCTATTGGTCTTTTACCTTGGTGGGAGAACATAAAGAGAAATCTGTAAGGAGGTCAACATTTAGGCAGCTGGGCAGTAGAACAGGACCAGCCTTCTCAGGGTTAGTATCATTCTCTTCATTTTTTGTACTTGTATTTCTTATTCTCATCCTAATCTCTTATCAAAGAGTCTCTATCCCAGCCCAACCTTGTCTTGTGTGGTTCCCTAATATCGATAGAAGGGACTGTGTACTCTATCTATCTATTGTAAATGTGCTGTGCTCCTTTCTGCCTTCATTTAGGTATGGTTCCCTCTTACTGACACAAACACTATTCAGTCTTCAGGATCTATTCCAATACTCCCAAGTCTAGTCCTTTCTGAACTCTTGGTTTATATCACTTATTTTACATCTTAAATCAGATTTTCTCTTTAATTTCCCCTTTCATATTACACTCCCTACTAAAGTGAAAGATTGCCTCAGCCTGGAAATACGTATTCTCCTTTACTCGGTAGGAAAGTTTCACATTTTCGTATCTGTCAGGATTGGGTTCAAACATAATTGAGTACAGACAGTTAAGCCTTATGACTTGGAGGCTAAGAGCCCAGGTTCTGGAGCCAAGTAGTTTGAGTTACATTCTCCCTCTATGATTCACCAGCTGACCAAATTTCTCTGCCTGTATAATGGAGATATTAATAACTCCTATCTCATGGGTCTATTCTGTGTATTAAATAATTAGTATATACAAAACAATAACCTAGTTATTTACTATATGCTAAATATTTTAGTGCTTTATATGCATTACCTCAAACAATACTAATAATGCTGTTCAAACACATTCTAGCTTTGCAACTGCAGGCTGCTCATTATAAGTTAGTAGCCTAATCTATTTATGTTGGTAATCCCTCATAATGGTGGAAGTGATAATGATTTGACAAATGTAAACATTTGGCTCAAGGCCTAGTACATTAGGAATGCCAACAATAAAGTAAATTTTTATTTATAAGTATATAATGAGCTTTTTTGGTTTTTTGTTTTGTTTTTTTGTACCAGGGATTGAACTCACAACCCCATGCTTACCAGGCAGAAACTTGAGCCACTGAGTTATATCCCCAGCCCTATAGTGAGCTTTTTATGTGACTTTTTGGTATTCTGTAAGGAAAAAAGGCCAAATTTCAATATGGGACTGATTGTGCCAACTGGTAAGTCTTAAGAGGAGTTATTGGAAAGACTATGTAGCAGATCCTACTGTGAACTGGAAGAACCCTCCTAAAGGTATTTACCCTAGAGCAAAACCCATTACCCCAGCTGCAAACCAGAATCCCCTGTGGAGCCTTTTTAAAGCCACACTCAGCTTGACTACACTCTTGAGATTTTGATCCAATCACTCTAGAGTGACACCAAAGCATCTGTCACTTTAAAACTACTCAATGATTCTTACTCCCAAGAAAACTGAGAATCACTTTTCAAAGATTTCATCATGACATTAAAATCTTCCAAATCTCTGAGAAACTACAAAAGCTATGGTGGGAGGTAAGGAATTACACAGAGAGCTTGAACAACATGTTGATTCCCATCATTGCTTGAAAGGTACTGTGCTTTGTCACTTCAAATACTCATCTATTCCACTTGTGTGCCCTACAGAAGGATCATATTCCTCTTCCAGGGACACTTCCCTCAGGAGTCTTGACACTACTTTGAGATCAGGTAGGTCTCCAGATCCTCTAGGGCAGGTTTAAGTGTCAAAGTGGCACCAAGGTCAAAATACTTTTGACAAAACTGACCTATGTTAAAACACATAGTCTTCAGGACTGGGGATTTAGCTCAGTGGTGCAGTGCCTATCTGGCAAGTGTGAGGTCCCAAATTCAATTCCAGGTTAAAAAGAAAAACACACACATGGCTGTCATGATGGTCTTGGCTTCCCTACATGGGAGTAATTAGGTGAATCTGGGTGTGATGGTGTGCACCTGTAATCTCAGCAACCCAGGGGGCTGACAAGAGAGGACTGTAAATTTAAGGGCAGCCTGGGAAATTTAGCAAGATCCCTTCTCAAAATAATAATTGTCATCACCATAATAATTAGGTGAACAATCCAATGTCACTAATTGTTACCGTCTATTCTGAAACAGTCTTTAAGACTAGCCTTGTTGCTCTGGTCAGAATTCATACTTTTCTAGGCTGCTGGCTAACATAAGGATTTGGGATCATCTGAAAATTGTATCTGTAGACCTTTTTTCATTATCTTTAAGAACCTGAGAATAATTATATACAATATTGGATTATATTGAGGACTTTATTTTCCAAAAAAGCCAATTCACTTTATAATAAGTAGTCATGGCTCTAACACAGTCATTCATATGCAGTGAAAGCTTTAAAGAACTACCCTGGCTTATATCCCTAAAAGCTACCTGAGTCTAAGCCCTAGATTTAATCACCAAAATGCCCTCAGGAAAATCTAACATTTAACAGTCTAGCTCCGTGCCCTTTGTCTATGCCCTCGGCATGATACAAAGTAGAACTGAAATGGGATATTCTAGGGAACTTTTCTATCCTTACTACTTATGCCAGTCTGCCTTTATCTCCACCCACCCATTCCCATCTCCCCATCAAACTATGCATCCTGATGCAGAATCTCAGCTGTAGCTGATTGCTTGGAAACTTAGGAATCCTTGAAATTAATGCCTATTAGGACTGATAAAGACAGCTAGTCATAGGAAAAAGTAGGCCTCCTATTGGCAGTAAAAAATGTAGCACATTTGAGATGTTGTATTTTTAGTTCACTTCTAAGAGTCTCCATATATTAATATGTACAACCTTAAAGATTTTGGGTTGATGTTCTCAAGTAACTATAAAGTAGTCTAAACCTGAAAATTGTACTGTTCATTCTCCTCCGAAGGTGGACATATATGACAATTAGCATCTTTCCCTGCCAAAAAGCTTAATTTAAGAAAGCTGGAGAAGGAAGGGAAGCAATGCTGAGCAGTGTAAAGGAACTTTCTATCCCAGCCTTGCTTTCTCCAACATTCTAATTCACAGTGTTAAGCACTGTTTTTCGTCCCAGGTCTATTAGTTTTCTAAAGATTCCTCCCTGTTTAATACTCTCTTTAAGAGCCACACACTTTCTTTAAAACAACCTATAATACATGTACTATTATTAAAATTTTGATCTTTCAAGGAGTGGAAAATAAATTTCCTCTATTGTCTAATCAGCTAGGTTACTGCTTTAGTAATTCAAAATTTTCATAGGTGAAACTTGAGATACCTTATATCTTTCACTCTACTTTTCTTTCAAAAATAGAAAATAGGCCTATGACAAGACTACCCTAATCTAAAATGTCAATTTTTTGCCAACCTACAGTTCCTGCTCTTTAGGCCTCATGGAGCCAGAAGCCTTAAAAATATGTCCTTATATCCCAACTCACAAGATGCCAGCTAGCAGATTACAGTACCACCTGGTGTTATGCAAAAAGGTTAGTTTTTCTGATAAGAACAAAAATCCCTTGAGGGGAAAAAAATAAGCTGAAAATATAAGGAGTTGAAGTTGAAAACAAAAGCTTCTGACCATATATAGCACCTGGTAGTTCTTAACATTGAAATATGATAGTTCTTCAAGCATTTCCAGTAATGAGTTGAGAGTAGAATACAAGCAAAATCTAACAAGAACTTTTTTCTTTCTAGAAAAATCCAAACATAGCTAAAAAGATGGCTAACTGCAAGTATAATGCTTGTCATGTGGTTCCAATCAAAAGACTCAAGGAACATGAGGCTAACTGTGTCTGCAGAACTGCTATCGATGATGGTAAGCTTTTCATTTGATAGCAGGTAAGCAGCATTAAATTCTGCTCTTCCCTTTGCCACCATCTCTCACAACTATGGAAGCCTTAACAGAGGAATAATATACAAAATGAAATTTCTACTCCTTTAAATCCTGGTTTACTTTCATTTCAGAGCCAATTAATCTTCCCTTGTTTATTTCTACAAGTTTGGAATTAAATGAAAAACTTTCTAATGGTGCCAGTCAGATTGCTGACCCGATTGTCTGGAATGTAGGTGAGCAAGGGTGAAATGGTGAGCATAATTATGAATGAAGTCCTGATTTCTATGTCCTTTAATAGCTAATAATCAGAGCCCTGGATAATTAAATGTTGATAGTCTTTCCATAAAATCCTTCACTAAACAATCCTACTAGTAAATCTAAGAATTTCACCTGACTCTGGAGAGTTAGCCCAGTAAAAAGGAGCCTAGCTAAAAATCTGAGTTCACTTATAACAGTTTCTACTCTTAAGTTGAACATGGAGGCAACACACCTGTGATCCCGATATGCTGGGAGGCTGAAGCAGGAGGAGCAGAAGCTCAAGCCCAGCTTTGGCAACTTAGACTGTCTCAAAATAAAAAAACAGAAAAGCCTGAAAACTAGCTGAATGGGAAGGCTCTGGATTTAATCCCCTGTACTGGAAAAAAATGATTCTGATTACCCACATCTGGAACTTGAAAGTTTGGAATTTATCACTTATCTCAAGTAATATCCTGTCTCTACAATGCAAAGTGTTTTAATGGATCTCTCACTGGCTTTCAGTCATATCTAGGTTCAGCAATATGCTGTGGCCTTAAGTAAAGATATATCTTCATCTATAAAAGACTGCCTCACAGTTGGTCTTAATATTAAACAGGAGCTTGAGTGTAGTTCAGAGCACTTGCCTTGCATGCATAAAACTCTTTAAGTTCAACCTCCACCACCACAAAATAAAGGTACGTGTGTTAGAGCAACACTAGCTCCTATAATACATAACCTCCAACCCATGTTAATATAGTGGATTGTTTTTTTCTTTTTTGAGACAAGTTCTCACTATTAGTTCAGGCTGGCCTTGAACTCACTAAGTAGCCCAGACTGGCCTCAAACTGCCAGTGATCTTCTGTCCTCAGCCTCCTGAGTGCCAAGATTAGAGGTATGGGTGATCATGTCAGGCAATGTGGTGACTTAACACAACAGAAGTTTTCTTGTATAAATCCCAGTACAAGTATTGGATAAGGGATGGAGAATCAAAGGCAAATGGTCTTTTCATCTTGCTGCCACCGTCCACTTTTAGCTTTCAAAGCTACCACAAAAGAATGAAGTAGGCGCCTCGGCCCAGAACACTTTCATTCCTTTTCCATTGGCAGACTAGTCACATTGCCAGGCCTAAACATGAGAGAAGTGAGAAAGTGGTCCCTGGAAGAACAGCCACTTCCCAGTGACAACTACAGAAGGAGGGCTCAACAGCTGCGGCCAGGGAGTCTTCTCTGCAATGTTACAGAAGTGCTTAGTACTTGTGTCACCTACTCCTCCTTTCCTTCTTTCCAGGTAACATGCATCACTCTTCTCCATTCATTCTTAAGACTTTTACTCCAAAACTCCTGGTTTGTGAAAGGTGAGATAAGCTACATTTTCATTGTCAGATTGGAGAACAGAATACTTTTAGAGCTGGGTTCTAAAGTGAGATGGGCATTAGGTCATGGGCACAGCAGACATCGAAGCTTCAAATACTAAGATCTGTGGGGTGCCCCTGAGTACTTCCCATTTCTTCTCCATGGGTCCACTTTGCACTGTATTTCTATAAAGAGCCCCATACATAATGTTGTTGATGCTGTGTAAGATTTTCAAAGAAAAAAGAACAATTCGTTAGTATATGAAAGGGAAAGAACCAGGTCAGGATCCCCAACCGAACAAACCTGAAAGGAACTTTCAAGAGTTCTAAGAGCTGTTAATAGAATTACCCACAGCATACACAGGAAGAAGGCGTAAACTGTACTTTACAAAACAGAAAATAGGGGGAAAAAATTCCTGACACCTAGTAACATCAAATATGTTTGATAAAAATAATTTCATCTCCTATAACTGGTTATCTAAACATTCTCCAGTTTTGGTTTTCAACTAACTTTCCTCTTGTGATCCTCTCCTATAGTGACTCAAGAGACCTAAAAAAAGAGGCTATGGCTGATAACAACCCTAGCAACAATAAAAGACAAAAAAAAAGGTAATTTTTTTTAACTAACATAGCTGGGCATGGTGGTACATACCTGTAATCCCCACACTCTGAGAGGGCTGAGGCAGGAGGATTACAAATTTGAGCCCAGCCTGGGCAGCTTAGTGAGTTAGCAAAATCTGGGGGTATAGGTCAGTGTGAAGGTGATGGGTTCAACCCCCAGTACGGGTAAGGGAGGAAAAAACCTAAAACAGCCAAAATTTTCTTAAGAAAATTAAGTCATATTATTCTAAATTCCTCCTCCATTCACGATAGAGGGGAAGTCCTAATGGCCTCAAATTAAACTTGGAAGGAAAGGCTGTGTAGGGCTGTATCTGAAATGCTGTTAACTCACCTCAAGTTAAGGTGTTTCATATAGTACTCATATCAAAATGAGACTATCTCAATCTTCTTTCTTCCTACAGGTCAGAAAAACTGATAGAGAAGAGTGGATTAAAGAATCAGCAGACCAAAGATTTATTTTCCAGTCTTTTTTAAGCTTTATGGAACTCTTAATTGTGGAGTGGGGAATGTAATTCAGTTGCAGAGTACTTGCCTTGCATGCATGAGGCCCTGGGTTCAAGCCCCAGCACAGTAAAAGAAAAATCTTAACTGTCAAGTTTTAATGACAACTCTTACTTTGGCATTTCACCATGTTTTAATTTGTTTAAATAAAGATAATTTTTTCTATCACAAGTTCCATTTGGTTTCTTATTCTTCCTTATTTTCTTTTTTTGTTTTGTTTTTTGAGACAGGGTCTCTCTGTGTCTCAGGTTGGCCCCCAACTTGTGGATCCTTCTGCCAAATGCTGGGATTACAGGCATATGCCACCAGGCCTACCTTTCTTCTTTTTTTTTTTTTTTTTTTTTTTTTTTTTTTTTTTTCTTTTCTGTCTTTTTGAGATAGGGTCTCACTATGCAGTTCAAGCTGGCCTTGAGTTCACTTTGTAACCCACACTGGCCTCGAACTCAAAAAGATCCTCCTGCTTCAGCTTCCTGAGAGCTGGGATGCTGAGTGCATGCACCACCACACCCAGCCTTCCTTATTTTCATATTCTCATTTGTCAACCAAAAATCTGAAAATGTATTTGCCTATTTCCTTTTTGTTTTTCTTTTTTTTGGTGGTACTGGGGATCAAACAGCCACACGCTTGCAAAGCAGGCACTTATGCCGCTGAGCTAAATTCCCAGCCCCTATTTCCCTTATTACTAAAGAAAATAGTCTCTGGGTGATAATACTGTCCCACAATTAGGTTCTTCATTCCTCAAAGTTTTTCTCCAAGTCACTTACTATATGACCATCAGAGCAATCTTCTTCAATCAGTTCTCTCTATAAAATTTCCACTGCTTTTTTGAGGCAGGGAGGAGTTGGGGTTGGAGTTTGGTTTGGTTTGGTTTGGTACTGAGAATTGAACTCAGAACCCTGTGCTTACCACACAGGCACTTGTGCCAGTGTGGCACAAGTTTTATCTCCAGCCCTAAAGATAGTTTTTATGAAAAGCTGACTTTGGAATATGGTTAAAAATCTACTTTCCTCACTAAAGAAAATGTATAGAAAAAAATCTACTTTCCTAACTCTTTAAAGGCAATATACTCCCATCTTAATGTGCTTTCATCTTCATCATTCTGGGATTTTTGTTCATTTATTTTGTCTTGTTTGGTAATCTTGGGGATTGAACCCAGGACTGTGATACTGAGCTACATTCCACTGATTTCCCCCTTCCACCTTTTTTATTTTGAGGTAGGGTCTCACTAGATTGCTAAATTACCTAGGCTGACCTGGAACTTGCAGTCCTTCTGCCTCAGCCTCCCAGAGTGTTAGAATGACAGGCATGTGCTATCATACCCGATTAACAGGTTGTTTGTCTCCATAGGACCCTTCATTCTGCTTTTTTGTTAAGCTATAAGATGCTTTAAGATAGACCCGATCTTGACTGTGTAATAGCCCTGTATCCACAGTCAAGTTTGCTGAATGTACAGAATCTATACTTGTTGGGGTTGGGGGTTTAGCTCAGTGGTACAAGCGCTTGCCTGGCAAGAGGTCATGAGTTCTATCCCTGGTTCCAAAGAGAGAGAGAAAGAGAATCTATACTTGCAAGCCTTGCTTAGGTAAAATTAGATTCAATACTCTGGGATAAATATTTCTATCAGAATAAAAACCTTCAGCCAGGCATGGTGTTGCAAGCCTATAACCCCCGCACTCAGGAGGCTGAAGCAAGAGGATCACTGTGAGTTGGAGGCCAACCTAGGGTACAAAGTGAGTTCAAGGCTGTTATGATTGATATATTGTGTCACCTTCAGAAGTTTAGAAGTTTTACTGAGACTCAACAGAGAGTCAGGATCCTTACTTTGTAAATATCCTCATCCTGTGCAAGAGGAGGGCACAGAGATTCTGTGAGTGCTACACCTACCCAGGTGGAAGAGTAGCCTGCATACAATATACGATTTAAAAAAAAAAAAAAAAAAAAAAAAAAAAGGCTCATTTCCCCCTCTCGCTCTGGCTGGTGCCTTGAAGTACTGTCCTAGTGCCATGCCACCCTGCCGTGGAGCCAGCTGATTACGGACCGAAACCTCCACAGTGAGCTAAATAAACCTTTCCTCCCTTCATTTTGGATGTTAAGGTTTTGTGCCAGCAAGGAGAGAAAAGCAACTAAAGGCCAACCTGAATTGCACAGTGAATTCCTGTGTCAAAAAAAAAAAAATCTTGATAACCAGTTTTTCTTCTACAGAAAGTCCTATTAAGGCAAGTTATTTTTATGGGATAGTGATAGGCCTTTCCACATATAAACTTACTTCCCTAAAATCAATTTTTAAGGTTTTAACTCTTCCATTCACCATATAAACTGTGAGAGGAAAACTCTACTAAGCCCTTTACACATGTCCTAAATATGTACCAAAACATATCTCATTGGTTCCACATCTTTATCTGTCCCATATTGGTCCAGACTTTCTAGGCCTTTTAGTTCAGGCTTTCCAAGCAGCTGTGCTATAAGGAAGGGAAAAAACTCAAATATTTTAGGCCCTTCTTCCCGCATACTCTTACAAAATAGATGGATGTCATAGTTTTACAGCACTTGACAAAATACACCTATGTTCTCAAGTCAAATAATCAACTATCTCTATATTTGTAACACTATCTAGGAACTGTAGTAGCATGGGGGGAAGTGGGGGAGATGTTGGTCAAAGCCTACAAGTACTCAGGAAATCAATAAATTCTAGAGAACTAATACACATCATGGAAACTACAGTAAATAACATTGCATTTGTAAACAGGGCATGGTGTCACATACCTATAATCCCTGTACTCAGAAGCATGAGGCAGGAGTATCACTTCAAGTTTGAGGCCAGCCTGGGCTACATAATGAGTTCAAAACCAACCCAAACTACATAGAGACCCTATCTCAAAAAACCAACCAAACAAAATAACAATGTGTTATATACCTAAAATTCGCTAAAGACCTTAAGTATTCTCACCACACACAAATAAAACACACAAACTATGTCCTGATTTTGCTAATTAGCTTCATTGTGGGAATTATTACACAAGGTGTACTTATATCAAAACATCATGTTGTAAACCTTAAATATACACAATTTGTCAGTCACACCTCCATGTAAAAAAATGAAACTATAGTGACATAGTCCAGTATAAGGGAACAATGTTAACAATTACAGTATAAGGCAATAATTCTCAAACTTTAGTGGATAACAGAATCACATGGAGGTTTGTTTAAAACACAAAAAAAAGACAGATTGTAAGGCTTCTCACCTTCCAGAGTTTCTGACTCAGAAAGTCTTCCTAGGGCCTAAGAATTTGCATTTCTTCAAATCTCCACATGGGGACCACCCTTTCAGAAGCACTGTACAAGGTGCTGTAAAAGTGCTAGGAGAGGGAGCTGGGGAGCGGCATAAGTGCCTGCCTTGAAAGCAGGCAGTCGTGAGTTCGATCCCCATGTACCGATAAAAAGGAAAAAAGACAAAAAAAAAAAAAAAAGTGCTAGGAGAGGAGAAGGTAAATGGAAGTTCCAAAAACAAAACAGAGAGTAAGGATTCAATCACAGATAAAGGTTAGAAGGTTTGGCAGAAAGAATGAGTATTATATTTAAACATCTGCCCTTCCTCAAATTAACATCTAACGAATGGCAGGTATTGGAATTTCAGGACTGTTCTGCACAGTGACAGCCTTTCACAGGTAAAGTTTCCTTGACATAATTGTACTTCAGCAATCTTCAAAAAAAGTTTCCAAACTGGGCATAGTAGCACACAGCTGTATGTACTCCCAGCACTCAATAGGCTAAGGCAGGAGGATCACTGAGAGTTCAAGATCGGCCTGGGCTACATAGTAAGTTCAAGGCCAGTCTGGACTACAGAGCAAGATCCTGTCTGAACTACCCCCCACCACCACCTTGCAAAACAAAAACCTAAAAAAGAAAGTCACCTGTCTCTTCAATACTAGAACAATTTGTTTAAAAAAAAAAAAAAAGTTTGGCTTACAATTTTCTTAGATGCTGGCACAAGAAAGTGTGTAAGAAGCTATATTTTCCTGAATTCTGGTTAAAGAACTACCCATACATCAGGGGAAAACATAGAATGGATTTAAGTACCACATACTGGTAATTATTACAGATAATGTGGACTACAGAGATTTGTAACATTTATATGTTAGGACTAACAAAATATCACCTCTTTTTTTCCCCTCTCACTCATCCTGTATGTTACTTTCTAGAGTTGAATATTGGCTATCCTTTAGCGAGCTGTCATTAGCGAATCTTTTTTTTTCTTTTTCTCTTTTTCTTTCTATTTTTGTTGGAGGGGGAGGGGGCAGGGTTTCACTGCATGGTTCAGGCCGGTCTTGAACTCACTTTGTAGCCCAGGATGGTCTCAAACTGGCAGTGAGCCTCCCGAGTGCGGAGACTACAGACATTCACCACAGTACCCAGCTAGTTAACAACTCTTTTTCTAAACATAAATTTACTTATATTAGTTTCTACCACCACTCCCTCCTACTGTGCCTAAACAACAGTATCTAACTCCAACTTTCCTCTCGCCTGTCCAGTACTTCGCAATGACGGCACATTCTCACCAATAAGAACACTTACTTGGCCCATTTCTCCATAACCTTTTGATTTGCAATTGCTTGTAGAATAATTTTTCTATTTTTAATTATGCACTTAACTACCAATCAAAACTCACCATTAAATGAGAGAACCAGGACTTAGTTGATAGAATTCAAGCCAGAAACAAAGAATTTTAGTATTTTGATGGGTAAAAGTTTATTAGGCCTTCTGAAACTGAAAAGTTTCAGATGTATTTCAAGGACTTTGGGAATTCCTTCAATTCAAAGGGCTAAAAAACTCATTTTCTAACAAAAGTTTTTGTTGTTTTATAGTACTGGCCATTGAATATGGCTTGAGTATAAAGCTACATCTTCAACCTTTTTCTTTTCTAAGATCTCACTGCTGAAGATATAGCTCAGTGGTAGAGTGCTTGCCTAGCATCCAAAAGGCCCTGAGTTGAATTCCTAGTACTACCAGCAAAAATAAAAATAGATAGAGATATGTATCACTAAATGGCCAAGGTTGGCCTTAACCTTTGATTTCCTGCTTCAGTCTCTTGAACAGCTGGAAATACAGGCATACACCATCATACCCAACCTAACAAAGGTTTTTTTTTTAGTTGCTAAAGTACAAATTTGTCTTTTTAATCAATAGTCTGTAAATGTTATTTTTTTACTAATTATTATTAAAATATAATCTATAAGGATAAATGCTATAATATGCACAGATGAAACCAAAAATTAGAATTCAGTTTAGTGCATTAATCTCCACCAACTCCTAGAATGGCCTTTGTTTAAATGACTTGGTCTCTTGTTTTTTCCTTTTCAAATATGATCAGCCTGGCTGGAAAACCAGTCTGAAAGCAAGCTCAGCAGGGATCTCAGATAAAGCAGAAAGTTTTGGGGTTGAAAAAAATAAATGTGTGGTGCATTTTTATTTCAAAGTCACCACTGAAAGGCAGGTTTGAATTTTGTTTTTAAGTTGGTAGGCTTGCTCACTGCTGCTAAATAAAACAGTTTTATTAGTTGACAATCCTGTCACTTGAACAAGTCATTTCTGAATGCAGTGAAGCCTGATTTTGGATTCTGGTTTAGGACCCAGTTCTCTTCCTCTCAAATTCTTAGCTCTTTCTTCCTCAGAAATTTCAGTTTGGGGGCTGGAGGTTTAGCTCAGTGGCATAAGCACCTGCCTTGCAAGCAGGCGGTCGTGAGTTCGATCCCCGGTACCGATAAAAATGAAATGAAAAAAGACAAAAAAAAAAAGAAATTTCAGTTTGCAGATATCTGAATGAAAAGTACTTGTACATCTGGTAATAACGAAAACATTTGCACCAGATTGCTGCCATTTAAAACCCGAAAATCCACATTTTGGTTCAAATCACTGTTGCCCTACTAATTCAACATGAATGATGTGATAAAGTCAGAGGTTAGAATTTCAATAAAACTATTTTAAATTATTTCCTAACAATCTGAAATTGACTTGCCAAAACAACAGCTGTTTCTAAAATGCTTTGCACCAAGTTCGAAATGAAGCTTTCATTCTTAGCAATTATCTTTGAAAAAGCACTTTAACGGTGCGTTCTTCATATGAATCATCCATGCCATTCGGGTGAAAGAATAGCTTTTATAAATTCAAAATATTGCTTAGGTCAGTGATTCTCAACCTTGGCTGCACATTAGACTCATCTAGATGGGTTTTTTAAAAATAACTATTACTGGCTCTGAGTAATTGGTCTGTAATGTAAACTCAACCTGTATGTTTTTTATTTTGTTTTTGTTTTGAGACAGGGTCTTGCTATGGTGGTGCAGGTTGGCCTTGAACTCACTTGTATAGCCCAGGCTGACCTCAATCTCATAGTGATCTCAGGTCTCAGATTCCTGAGTGCGGGAATTATAGTCATACACCACCACACTCTGCAGCTTGGTGTATTGTAAGACCTCCTTATATGATTCTAATGTTCATAAATGACTAAGAGTCACTAAACCAGTCACCATGGTGGGGCAAGCTTGTAATCCCAGCACTCTTCGGAGAGCAGTATCTCAAATTCAAGCGTAGGCTGGGCAATTTAGTGACTGAGACCCCGTCTCAAAATAAATTTAGGGCTGGGGATTTAGCTCAGCGGCATAAGCGCCTGCCTTGTAAGCAGGCAGTCGTGAGTTCGATCCCTGGTACCGATAAAAATGAAAAAGACAAAAAATAAAATAAAATAAAATAAAAAATAAAAAAATTTAAAAGGGGCTGGGCATGGTGGCTCACGCCTGTAAATCCCAGCACTTGAGAAGCCTCTCAAGCCTCTGAGAGGATCGTTGCAAATCGAGACCAGCCTTGGCTACAGAGTGAGCTCAAGGCCAGACTGAACTGCAGGTTTCAGAAATACAAAAAAAGAGCAAGGGAAGCGGCGTGCAGGTTCAATCCCCATCTAGTACAATACACACACACAACACACACACATACACAACACGCACGCACGCACACACACGCACAAAGTCCACAAGAATGGCTTGAACCTGAAAGCATCTTCAACATCCATTTCTGGCCGGAGTGGTGGTGCATACCTGTAATCCAAGCACTTAGGAGGCTGAGGCAGGAGGATCACTACAACTTTGAGGTCAGCCTGAACTACATAATGAGACCTTATCTCAAAATAACCACTCATCCACATTGGTATCTGTTTTCTTAGTGAGATTTGGGTTCAAAACCTGCTTACACTTTGTGTATACATACCAGTTTTCAGAACAACTCAGTGGTTTACAAGGGAAGTTGTAACTTTGTGACCTACTTGCCCTCTTCAATCTAAATCTCCTTTTAATGCTACTAGCTCATCCATCATCCTATCATCCATTCTCAGACGCCACTACTACTCTCTTAAATTTTGAGATTCTATAACTGTCAAACACAAAATTCCTGCCCTTAGTTTTTGGCTGTTTTTTGATTGTTCTATCTCCTTCATAATTCTTCTTCTCTCCCCTCAAAATGTGAGTTATATTTCCATTAATAAAAACTCCACAAATAAGGTTTCCCCCAGACAGCACCCGACCTCCACCCGATCTCGTTCCTAAACTCTCATTCTCTTTTCTAAAATGGCCGCCACAAAGTCCGGGGAAGGGCGCTGGAGTTCCACACACGCATGCCCAGTACAGCTCTGCGGGGCTGAGGAGAACTGGCGCAAGGGGCTGAGTCACAATGACCGTGTGACTGGGGCCCAGTGGGGAAGGGGCACGCAAAGGAGTCCCTTCTGGCCCTCGGGGGCGACCTACAGGCCCAGCACTAAAGCAGACGGAGCCTGCGCGTCACAGGAAGCAGGAGGCCCCACCCACTGGCGCCAGGGACCGGAAGTGAGCGTTGCCCAGGCGTGGCTGAGGGGCGAAGGCGGTCGTGCTGCGAGCGTGGCGCGGCTGAGGTACGGGAGGGTCGCGGTCCGGCTTGGCCTCTCCGAACAGTTCGCCTGTGAGGTACGGAGTTCCCTTCACCATGTAACGGCACTTTTGCCCTTTTCCGCCCGTACTTTTCAGCCCTAGGACTCGAACGAAGTTCCTGTGGCTGTCGGCTAGTTCCGAGCCGTCGTCCACTCGAGGGCCTGTCTAGCACCTTTTTCGACCTTCTTTTAAGTTAACCATCCTCCCCACCTTCTCTGTAGTCCTATCGCTTCAGACTGTTAAAGAGTTCAGTTTGAGTTTCTTTGCTTAAAGGAAGGAAATTACGACTTTATGGACGCCTCGAACTCTGTTAAGTTGAAACAGTAGCTTCCGACTCTAACCAGTTCCAAATTTAACTGCTTCACGCAGCTAAATTACTGATCTGGTACTAATGAAAAGCGCCACCTGTTAACAGTTTGATATGGACGATATTTAAAGGGACACAGTTGCGTGATACTAGAAATTCCAGTGCTATTAGTCTATAATTAGTCTTTTTGCAGGAAAAAAAATACATTGTTCCCTGCATGCTGCTGAATCTAGCAGTCATCACTCTTTTATATGCCTTAAAGTCTCGAAACTGGATATTTGGTTCTTTCTTCCAGCCTCACTTAACTTTTAATAAAAAGGTATGAAGTAACCATGTGTAAAAATGATCAGAAATTCTTAATCCAAATATGAAAATATATATATTTTACGTAGTTTAATGATTGCCTTTAACAAATGGGCTCTGCCAGCTGATCAGTTGTATTTCCTAACATAAGTTCTACAGCTGCTTATGTCATAGAATGGAGAGAAGGCTATGGAATTGTATGAGAGGCCAAAGGAGAGCTTGCCTAGAGACCATAGCTGTAAATATAACCAATTTTCAGAAACTTTCTATGAGGTAGTTTTACACAGAATTAGTTTTTCCCTTAATGTATTGTTTAATTATAGAACTCAGTAGGGGAAATCTCTGGTAGAAGGGTATTCAAACTATAAAGCAATTTATTTTAATCTTTTCTATTTGTTAGATTTTTTTTTCTCCTGTGACTGTGTTATCTGTAATATACAGTAGGTAGTTCCTGGGTCTTAACATTCACAAATTTTCCCTCAGTGGATACAGGACTTAAGTATTAAATGAAGGGGTTTAAATCAGCAAGTGATGCCATATTAGCATTGGAGACTGAGGAAAACATCAGTGTGGCATTTCTTGATCATGTTTAAGAAAAATCATAAAAGAGGTTGGGGATTTAGCTCACTGGCATAAATGTCTACCTCGAAAATAAAAGCTCTTGAGTTTAATCTCCAGTACAAAAAAAAAGAAAAGTCATAAAAATGGTAATCTAGGGGCTGGGGATTTAGCTCAGCGGCATAAGCGCCTGCCTTGCAAGCAGGCAGTCGTGAGTTCGATCCCTGGTACCGATAAAAATGAAAAAGACAAAAAAAAAAAAAATGGTAATCTAAGGCTGGGTGTGGTGATACACACCTGTAGTCCTGGTACTCAGAAGGCTGAGACAGATTGCTGGGAGTTACAGGGCAGCCTGAAATGCATAATGAAACCCTGTGTCAAAGAAGGCAAAAAATAATAATAATCTAGCGTCTGAGCATTTTGGATGAGTATACTGTCTATCATAAATGGTCCATAATTCCCAGATCCTAGAGAGGGGCAAAACTGGTAACCTGCCCTTCCTAAAACTTTTAGAAATTTAAGAGGAAAGCTTTAAAATAGTACCCTAAACCAGGCATGGTGGTACACACATGTAATCTCAGCAGTCACAGACATACGGCTGAGGCAAGAGGATTCCTGTGAGTTTGAGGCCAGCATGGGCCATATAGTAAATTCAAGGCCAGCCTGGAATACATAGCAGGACCTTGTCTCAAAAAATAAAATACCTGGCCCAGGGATTTAGCTCAATGGTGTAAGCACTTGCCTTGCAAGTGCAAACTCATGAGTTTGATTCCCAGTACCAAAACAAAAAAAAAAAAAAAAAAAATAGAATAAAATACTCTATGCCTGTTTTTGTCCATAATTTAAATATTTTTATTTATTTTTTGGTCTTGGTATTTTGTTTTTGTTTTTTTTTTGTCTTTTTCTTTTTTATCGGTACCGGGGATCGAACTCACGACTGCCTGCTTGCAAGGCAGGCGCTTATGCCGCTGAGCTAAATCCCCAGCCCCCGGTCTTGGTATTTTTATGGTCTTCACTTGTGTCCTCTAGTGTTAAACAGCATCAAACTCCTAATAGCAGGTAAACAATCATAAGATTTTGTGGGCCCTAAATTTGTTCCAAAAATGTAGATTAGACAAATGATGTTAAAATGTTTCAAAGGAGTCAGGTGTGAATTATGCATGCTTTTTACCTAGCTATTCATGAGGCCAAGGTAGAAAGATTACAATTTCAAGCCCAGGCAGGATAGGTGTCTCAAAAACTAAAATAGACTGGGAATGTAGCTTAATGATAGAGTACTTGCCTAATATGTGTGAGTGCCTGGGTCCAGTCCCCAGTACTGCCAGGGAGAAAAGCTTCAGAGAAGGAAAGAAAGCTTTTAAAGAGGAGGAAGAAATGTTTGAGGACGAAGATACATGCTAAAGATTTCTTATATTGAACTTGGATAGCTTCAATTTGAGAACTACTGATTTCTCTTCTTAGAGCTGCCTTTGGTACATTTCATTTCTGATTCCCTGATTCATGTGTTTTTTTTTTTTCTCCCAGCACTTGAAATCAGCACCTTCATTTTCAGCATGGAAGATACTTACAGTATGTACTACTTGTTACTTTTAGAAAATAAGTTGTATTATTTACATATAGTTTTTTAAATTTTATTTTGGAGAGAATAAAACCAAGCAAAATAAAGGAGAATTAAAGCCAATCAAAACAAGATAATAGGGGGCTGGGGATTTAGCTCAGCGGCATAAGCACCTGCCTTGCAAGCAGGCAGTCGTGAGTTCGATCCCTGGTACCGATAAAAAGACAAAAAAAACCAAAAAAACCCAAGATAATGGGAAATCAGCAATGGTTACCATAGTATCTCATCTTCAAAATAGCTGCCCATACCTTCAGACATAGTAAAATCAAACAAAACAAACAGAATAGAACCACTAAAAAAGCAGTGAATGCAGTACAGCACTTCAAAACAAGATAAAAGTATATCCAAAATGGCTACCATTATGTATCTTGTTACCTTGGAAATAGTTGCCCATGCCATCAGATACAACAAAATCAAACAAGATAAAACAGTAAAACCCAACCAAACAAAACAATGAGAATAATATAGGATTTTGAAACAAGATAATAGAGAATTAACAATGGCCCCCACCTTCAGAAGGAGATCCTACATTGTGTAGGATACTACATTGTGTATTGTTACCTTCTGGATAGATGATCAGACTACCAGCTATAGGCCTGAAAAGTCAGAGAAACACTAAACACTTAAATTGTATTTTACCTCATTGCTGTCATCATAGCATGTATTTCTCTGGATCAGCCTGTATTTGTTATAGTTTTTATGTCTGACTAGACTTTCAGTGTATGGTGAAAAATTCACATTTCTCCCTGAACTACTAAGAAGGAAAGGTCTGTATGGTATTGGTGTGCAGAAGATCTCCAAATCTCAAATAAGATACTGGAAATTTAAGTAATTAAAAAGATATGCTGGGCATGGTGGCACACACCTGTAATCCCAGCACTCAGGAGGCTGAAGCAGGAGGATCATTGCCAGTTCAAGACCAATGTGAACTGCATAGTGAGACCTTGTCTCAAAAAGATAAAATAAAAATAAAAATGTATAATAAGTCATATAGCTTTTTTTTTTTTTTTTTTGGTCTTTTTCATTTTTATCGGTACCAGGGATCGAACTCACGACTGTCTGCTTGCAAGGCAGGCGCTTATGCCGCTGAGCTAAATCCTCAGCCCCAACGACAAGTCATATAGCTTTGAAAAGGCAGTGCATAGGACATCTGTCGAAAACTGTATATTTGATTTGGTATTTTTGATGCTTGGGATTGAACCCAAGCTTTGCACATGCTAAGTATGTGCTCTATAAACTGTATTTTAATTAAATGAAGCCCTTTTAACTCCTTAGGACTTTAGCCTCCGATATATCTGAAGCAAAAATAGTATTTTCTGCTTTATATTTTGAGGGGTAATGTAGTATACATAATAAGATTGCTGTATATTGAGTTTCTAGGACATTCTAAAGGGAATTCTTAATTTTCGAGTGATCCAACAAAACTTAGAAGACCCAAAAAATCCATACCAGACTGAATAATTAATGAAACCCTGTCTCAAAATGACAATTTTTTTAAAAAAGGCTGAGGGTAGAGCTCATGTGAAGGTCCTAGATTTAATCCCAAGTGCCACAAAACATAAAACAATGTAAAAAGGGCTAGGAATGCGTCAATGCAAAGTCCCTTGGTTCAGTCTTCAGTACCACAACTTCCCCGAAGCACAAAACAAACCAAAATATATCTATATCTATATATCTATATCTATATGTATGTTTCAAAAACAAAAAATATAGATTGTTAGTCACATTATTGTATACAGTAGTAAAAAACTGGAAACATGCCTATCAACAGGAGACATAGTTAAGAATGCATGGTATAGGGCTGAAGATTTAGCTCAGCGGCATAAGCACCTGCCCTACAAGCAGGCAGTCGTGAGTTCAATCCCCGGTACCGATAAAAAGGAAAAAGACAAAAAAAAAAGAATACATGGTACATCCATAGATACAGTATTAATATATTCCTTATACATAATAACAAGGAAAGAGCACCAAAAAACATTAAAAATTAGGGATGTAAGCTCATTGATAGAGTACTTATCTAGCATGCACAAGGTTCTGGATTCAATCTCTGGCATAACCAAAAAACTTAGTTAAAAAAAAAAAAAGTTTCAAAATAGGAGACAAGAAATTCGTCATATGCTATATAACATGAATGACATAATTTTTTTGTTTGTTTGTTTTTTGTTTTTGGTTTTTTTTGGTCTTTTCGAGACAGGGTCTCACTAAGCAGTTCAGGCTGGTTTTGAGTTTCCTTTGTAGCCCAGGCTGACCTCAAACTTAATGATCCTCCTGCCTCAGCCTCCCAAGTGCTGAGATTACAGGCATGTGCCACCATGCTCAGTTTAAATGACATAATAAAATCACAGAAAAAACAAATACTGTAAGATTTCACTTATATGAAATATCTAAAATGTACAAAGTGATGGTTTCCAGGGTCTAGGGGAAGAGAGGACTGGGGAGTTGAGGTTTACTGGATATAGTCTGTGAGACTACAGATGTCTGGAGATTGTGCAATAGTGTGAGTATACTTGGCATTACTGAATTATACATTTAAAATAATTAGAATTGGGCTGGGGATTTAGCTCAGTGGCATAAGCACCTGCCTTGCAAGCAGGCGGTCATGAGTTCGATCCCTGGTACCAATAAAAAAGAAAAAAAATAATTAGAATGGTACATTTTACATATATTTTATCACAATTTAAAATTTCTTAATTAAAAATAATTTTTTAAAATATAGGAACCCAAATTAGAGCTGACCTAAATTGTCAGACAGCAAGAAGTAAAGCATTATGGTAGGAAGCTCTCATTATCAACTCTGACATATGCTACTATATGGGCAGGATAATATGTGTAAATCATATGGTTCATCAGTCTGTCAGCTGCTGACATGGCCTAACATTTTCAAGTGATAGAATGGATTAAATGAAGGGAAACTAATAAGAATTTCATCTGTAAATGCTCCATGGATGTCCTGAAGATTCAGAAATAGGAAAAGATTGCTAGTCAAGAAGAGTTTGGTTGACATAATAAGCTTGCCTGTCTAAAACTTTTCCTGCCTATTCATTCTGCCCTTCAAGTCACCTTTCTAGCTCATTTGCATCATGATCATGGTTAGCAATTCCATGTTTACATTCTTACAGTGAAACTGTCTGTTTCAATTTCTCACTGGCTTCTGATTTTCACTGCAGTCTCCTGGCTTATAAGCTTCTTATCAAATGTGAATTGTTTATTTCACTTTAAAAATTACCTCCAGGGGTGGCAAGAGCATTTGCCTCTTGTCCATAGAATGCCCTTAACCATTTAATCTCCCTTTCTTAGCTGTAGTTGTTAAAATTTGGGGCTCAACCAGGACATTTTATAGATACTGAGGGCAGTTTTAAATAGCATAATCTAGATTAGGGACTCTTCTTTCACTTGGCAGTTCCATATGTCTGAAGTTGTCATAACCCCAGAAAGTTTTATTTTTTGCAAATTGTTTTTTATTTTTAATCTGGCTAGTTTGGCAGTCACTAGATTAAGAATTATTTAAGGGATCCCCGGTAATGATAAAAACGAAAAAGCCAAAAAAAAAAAAAAAAAAAAAAGAATTATTTAAGGGTTGGGGATTTAGCTCAGCGGAATAAGCGCCTGCCTGGCAAGCATGAGGTCATGAGTTTAATCCCCAGTATCAAAAAAAGAGAGATAAAATAGATTAAGTATTATTTGGGATTTTTTTTCACCTTGAGTATGTTCCATAATAGGCAAAGTAAACCACCTGTTAAAGGTATTAGTCTGTTAAAGGTATTAGTACCATTTGAGAAGTAACTGGGGTCATGATGATCAGGAACTGCTTATTAGGAATAAATTAAAACACAAAAAAATATCTACCCACTAATATTTTTCAAGCTTCCATAAAATAGTATAACTAGAACAGTGCTTACCAACTTGGTGTCATGGATATTAATATAAACAAAGATGCTAAAGAATGGGATTGACTGTCCTCAATTTGCCCTAGGATCATTTGGCTGAGGATCAAGGGGTAAAGTGCTTTGCACAATGGGCCACAGTGGATACATGGGAACACTAGCAATCTACTTCAGCTTTAGCAAACTGGTTGGGAAGCTCTGGTTGGATTAGCTGGAGAATAAAAATTAGAATGTCACTTGATTTAACTTTTTTGTTTTTGTTTTATGGTAAGGGTAATCAAAAATGAAAATAAATGTTTTAACTAATACATGTTGGCAGTATAAAATAATTGCATTTGTTATGGGGAGTTCACACATACATATAACTTAACATAATTCATCCTCTTCGCCTTCCCTCCATCTCTTAGATCCCTCCCTTTTTTTGAATGAAAAAAATAAAGTTCAGTGGTAACAGGTTTATATTCTCAGAATTACATTTTAGTTTTTAGTTGTTTAGTCAATCCTTTTTAAAGCTAATTATTCTTTACACTGACTTTTTCTATTATCCATCTTACAGATTCTGTTTTTTAAAAAAAAATGCCAATGTGCCTGAAATGCAATAGTGTTACAAAGATCGATTATACTGCATACTTTAATGTATTTGTCTCTCTTTCAGTTGACTCCCTGGACCCTGAAAAGCTATTACAATGTCCCTATGATAAAAACCACCAGATCAGGGCCTGCAGGTTTCCTTATCATCTTATCAAGTGTAGAAAGGTAAGGTATTATTTTTATAATTGTCCCTTTTGCCATCTTGAGTTCTTTCACAATTTTATAAACCAGAAAAAAAAAAGATTTTATAAACCAGATTTTGTAAACATCAAATAGTTTTAGCATAAATGTTGAATTCCAGGATTGTTTTGAGAATCTACCTCTGTGTCCAAAATTTATGGAAAGTTTATTTCTTAGGATACATAAATTTTTCTTCTAAGTAGTGCTTTCTTCAAAGCACTCTTTATAAATAGTATCTCTGGATCTTATTCTTTGTAAAGAGAAGGAAACACTAAATTTTTGTTAGTGATAAGAAATCTCTTATTACCTTGATATGTTTATTGTCCTGAAAGAACTAGGTGCTACATTTCTTTCTGATTTTTGTTCTTGTCTAGAAATTTTAGGAGGTGGACCGACTAAAGGTTAGCCTAAGAAAACAGTATTAAATAACTGTTTCTCCAAGTTTCACCATCTTTTTAAAAAATTCTTGTTACTCTTTTATAGACTTAGATATAAACTAGCACTATATTAATTGAGACATGTTGACAAGATCACTGGAATGCAGACATCAGATACAGAGGCCAACATACAGTAAAATTTAATCTTGAAAAACAATTTTAGTATTTAATAAAAACTGCTTACCATTCAGATTTAGCATCCTTTAAAGAATATTTCTGTTAGGTGAGATATAGCTTAGTGGTAGAACATATACTTAGTAGGCACAAGACCCTGGGTTCAATCCACAGCTCATACTCACAAAAAAGTTCCTCTTACAATCCTGGAGACATAATGTGCCTTGCAGATTATTTCTTCAGCTCTCTTTAACCTGGAACAAGGATCACTTAAACTTAAACCTGAACAATATGGATCAGCAGATGTCGCTATGTCTTCGTCCTCTAGCCTCTCAAATGATTTCCTCAGGATAAAAATTGGAAAGGAGAGAAAAATGATACCAAGATACTGCTATAACTCCTCTATTTTCTAATGTTGTTATGCTTTGTCCGTAAAACCTTTGCATGCAATGCTTAATACTCCTTATGAAAAATGATAGAGATTCCTGCCCTCAAAAATTTCTTAATCCCATAGTTTTTGTTTGTTTGTTTGTTTTTGCTTTTTTCCGGTACCGGGGATCGAACTCACGACCGCCTGTTTATAAGACAGGTGCTTATGCCGCTGAGCTAAATCCCCAGCCCAATCCCATAGTTTCTTAATCCCAGCATTCTTCCTGTGTCACATAATTTTTGCCTCTTGATTTTCATTTATAACAGCTTTTTTCTTTTGCTAATAAATTTCTTAACTGTTGATATATTCACCATAAGATTTGGGTGATCTTAAACCTTTTTTCTTTAGAACAAGAAAGTCAGCAAAACTATCTTTGGATTTTTTCTTAGTGAAAAAGCAAAAATAAAGGTCACATTGTTCAGAGCCTCATTTCAGGCATTATTACTTTAAATAAGTGTCCCTGCGTTAATCTGAAAAAAATCATTGGTTTGTCTCTTCTGTAGCTCCTTTACAACATCTATTTTCCAGACTATTGTATTGCAGTAGTAGGGGCACTACTGCAATGCAGACTGAGCATGTTTAGTGTTGCTGTTTATCCTGAATGTCAGTTTTCAGAGAGCTCTATTATTATTGGCTGTGCCATCTGAATCTTATGACTGAGAAATAAACAGAGAAAAAAATTGTTCAGGGCTGGGCATATAGCCGGGCAAGTGCAAGGTCCTCAGTTCAATTCCTAACAACAGAAAAGGTTCATTTTTACTGTTTAGCTCTGCATAAGCCACTTAAATTCCAATATCCGCATTGTCTCTTTCTATAATCATAACAAAGAGGCATATATTTGATGGTTTTGAAGACATTTGAATAGTCTGCAAATAACTCTAAATTTTCTATGAAATTTGCCTACCATAGTTAAGCCATTAACTCTGTGTGAGGAATTTTAAATGAATAAGGTTGAGCCACTCCCCTTGGATTTTAAGAGTGCCAAAGAACTGACAGATTCCTTAATTTTGGTTCCACAGAATCATCCTGATGTTGCAAACAAATTGGCTACTTGTCCCTTTAATGCTCGCCACCAAGTTCCTCGGGCTGAAATTAGTCACCATATCTCAAGCTGTGATGACAAAAGTTGTATTGAACAGGATGTGGGTAAGCCTGACTAACAAAAATGTTCCAGTAATGTAGGTTAGCCCATTCAGATTTGTATTGTGCCACATTGCCAACTTGATTTTTGGCTTTCATCATTTCAGAAGAAAAATATTTTTTTGCCTTTTAGCAACAATAGGTTGCCTGTTGTTTACATGTCGGGCTGCTTTCTCTTCTGAACAGCCTGATTCATTTTACTAATAAACCATCTAAAAATAAAATCTTTTTATTGCCATAAACATGGCAAATGTCTTTGTTTCTCTTACCTTTTTGTTAACAGAGGGATTAGACCCCTCTAGACCCCTCTGTTTAGATTTCATACTATCCATGTTTTAAAAACAAAGACCCATTAGGCTACCTTGCAACCTCCTCTTAAACTCCCTTTTTTCATTTTGCTTTGTTTTGTTTTTTTGGTTTCTGTTGTTTTCTTTTGTTTTATCTTTTTGAGACAAGGATTCACTGTGTAGTTTAGGTTGGCCCTTAGCTCATTTTGTAGCCCAAGCTAGTCTTAAACTTGAAATGATCCTCCTGCCTCTGCCTCCCAAGTGCTGGGATTACAGATGTGCACTACCACATCCAGCTCCTTTTTTTGGTTTTTGAGTCAAGGTCTCACCATGTAGTTCAGGCTGGCTTTGAACTCACTGTGTAGACCAGGTTGGTGTTGAGCTCATGGTGACCCTCCTATTTCAGCTCCGAAGTACTGGGATTACAGGCATGCACCACCATGCCCTGCACTACTGCTTTAAATACAGTAAGTTGGTAGTAACTTGGCTATCTTATATCAGGTCTCTGTTATCTTGCAGTCAACCAGACCAGGAACCTTGGACAAGAGAGACTGGCTGAGAGCACATGGCAGTGCCCCCCTTGTGATGAAGATTGGGATAAAGGTGAAGTACCTCTACATCTTTCTCTTCATCATGTCTAAATCTCAAGTCATTTGCTTAAAACAGAAGGAACATTTTCCTTTTTTATGAACACACCATGTTGTTTGGAATGTGTTACTATTTTTATGGGGACCCAAAATGAGTACATTTGTATCACTGTGCAGACATGTGGAACAGCCTTTCTCTCTTGATTGGAAAAGGCACTACTTTACATCTGGTTTTTTTTTCATAAATTGTGTTGTACCATCTGTGTTTGATTGTTACTAGGCATGTTTATTATTGTTTATGTAGCTTGTGCTTATATTCTTTAGTTAAATTCCTGTTTCTGTGTCACTTAGGGAAAATACTTGATCAATTTTTACTTGCATCTCAACTTTGGCATATTAATTTCCATCTTACAAATTCAACTATTATGAACTGATATTTTATCTAGCAGTATCACAGACTAAATTTTGCTTCTTTTGGCAGATTTGTGGGAACAAACTAGCACCCCATTTGTCTGGGGCACAGCCAGCTTCTGTGGCAACAACAGGTAAATGAAATGGTCTCTTTCTCAGCACTTCCTCCCCAAATCAGTATCCTATTACCAAAAATAAGCCAGTCTTTCCTTATTGGTGTTCTTTGGTGATAGCTTACACTTTTTTGGGTGAGTTTTTTCCTTCCTCACTCCTTGATTCATAAAAAGGATATGTGGTTAGTGCTACTCATTCGGAATGTAAAAATAGTTGAGTTCGATCCCTAGTACCGATTTTAAAAAAAATAGTCTTAGAATTTTATTTTTTTATCTTAGTCTTAACAAGGAGGGCATGCTTCTGTTTTAATTGGATTTTTTGCTAAGTTTACATTATTTTAATACTTTAAAAAATTTTTCTGAGGCTGGAGGTGGTGGTGCACCTGTAATCCTAGCACTTGGAAGGCTGAGGCAAGAGGAAAGCTACAAGTTCTAGGCCAGCCCAGGAGTTGAAGGCCACCTTGAACTGCATAGCAAGATTCTGTTTCAAAAAAAATTATAAATTTTTATTTGTGATTAGAAAGTCCAGACTACCTGTTGGCGAGGGAAAAACATGGATCTGTTCCCACTAGTTTTTGTATTTAACTTAAAACTATAAGATTCCTCATTATTGCCAATACTCAAATCTTAGAAGACCAAATTTCATGTCAAGTGAGGTTATTTCTGTATTAGAAAATGAAAAAATAACATGTAAACTTCATTTTCCCCCCAAATAGTGTGCATATTGATTTTTATATCTTAGTCCATAAGATCATTTAATCATTTCCAGCTGAAAGTAGTGGCAAGCACCGGTAATCCTAGCACGAGGGAGATCTGAGGCAGCAGGCCCACTGCAAGTTCAAGCCCAGCCTGAACTACCCAGCAAGACCCTATCTCAAAAAAAAAAGTTACACAGTACTTTTATAATTTTGAGGATACACTATTTTATGTGCATTTTAAGACAAAAACTTAAAGATGATGAATTCCATTGATTACAATTTTAATTTTACCTCAGTTCTGTGAGATTTCCTGCCTTTGATTAGATTGAATGGCATTTTAGTTTATCTCTTACATTTACTGAGTGAGTTGATGAGTTGTCATACTATTGAACAGTAGATGGCATTGCCGTTTATCTCAATTTCTGGAAAATGAAAATGGTTAGACTCATCTTAATGCCTGTATAAAACAGAGAACTTTCCAGAGAAATAATAATCATTCTAATTACAGGAATGTGTTTGAGGAAATGTGTTTACATTTCTTTCACATGAACAAATTTATTTTCATTCAAATTACAAAAATGTTTTGATTGTCTCACATGTACCTGCCTGAAGGATACAGAGAATGCTGACATTGTTTAAAAAAAAAAAAATTTTTTTTTTTTTTTTGCAGTCCTGCTAGCAACATGGTTATGGAACATAAGAGCAACCTGGCTTCAGGCATGCGAGTTCCCAAGTCTCTGCCCTATGTTCTACCATGGAAAAACAGTAAGTAAAATAGAAGCAAAATGTTTTTATTCCCTTCGTTGTGCTAAAAAAAACCAAATACTCTTAGTCATTCAGATTTCTTTTGTCTGAACACCTTGCACATATGTGACCATAAAATACGTTCTTAAATTTTATATCCTAAGCATCTCACTTATTTCACCCTATGTCTGACATTGGTTAGAAACAAAAAAAAATTACGAAAACGTACAAGAGCACGGAAACCAAGAAAATATTTTCAGGATGAGATAACCACTGACATCAAGAGAGTAAATTTGGGGACAAATAAAAAGGCTGTTAATTTTGAGTAAAAGAAAGAGGAACTCATCCCTAATTTTCCAGGCATAATATCTAAAGGGAATTGGGATCACTATTTGTACTGCAGGGGCCTAAAAGAAAATGAATAAAGAGAAAAAGAAAGTGAACAGTCATAAGAACCAGCATAAAGAATGGAATTCAGATGCCTTTGCTAGACATCCTAGACCATGCTGGCTATACAATTACTAAATTTATAACAAAATACAGTGGTACCTTCGCTTCACAAACTTAATTCTTTCCATAATTCTGGTCGCAAACTGAATTGGATAAAAATCAAATCAAATTCAGTGATGAGGTTCAACATTGACTTCATGTGGAAATTTGATACCCTGATAACCCCAAATTTCAGAATATCAAAGATGGTATCATTCTTATTTAATACAAGTTTACATTTTCTAATGTTACTCCTAAATTCATATTCCTTTTATTTCTTTTTTTATATTCCTTTTATTTTATCCTTACCTACTATTTGAAATAATTTTGGAGTAGCCACATACTCCTTTTAAAATGTTTCTCTTTGGATACAAAAAAATTACAAAATAAGAGATTACAAAATAAGTAAAGAATAATTTTCTTTTCTTATGCTTTTAAATGGAATCTGATCACCAAGTTAAATTATTCTGCTTTTATATTATTATTCACTATACCTCAGGAATAAGTCATTTATGTTTAGTAAATATAGAGGATGGAGTGGATTTCAGTTGACATGATATATTTATTTTGAAATATTTTTACTCATAGATGGAAATGCACAGTAACGGAATATCTCAAGTAAGTATTTCAGTTTTATATCACTATATCTTCAGATGATTGCAAGATTTAACTGGACTTAAAGCAATTTAGGTCTAATTTTCTTTCAGATTATGGTACCAAATTAAACGTTAGTGTGTGCATGTGTTTTTTAAGGATATAGCCTCTGATAGGCTTTATACACTAGTGAATAGGCATTTACTGGTTAAATTAGAATTCTGTTAACATGCTAAATTGTTTTCCCTAACATTAGTACACATTGCTTTTTTTTTAATATCAAAGTTGCATTCTGTATCTGTCATGCCTCTTAATGGATTGAGATTAATTAGACAGTTATGCTTCACTGCTCTGCAATTTATTCCCTATGCATTACAGTTTAATCCTCATCAAAAAATTCATCCTCTCTTTAATAAGCACTTAAAAGTTTTGGGTCTCTTTCAGAGTCTTGCACTGTTCATCTCATCTGAGTATTTGAGTTAGCCGGACCTCACAAAGATCTATGTGAAGAGACCAAAATCTTTCACTTCCAACAGATGAAGCTTTTCTTGAATTCCCTCTGTATATCCATGGCAGAGCCAAGTTTAACACTTCAAATGCTATCTCAGCTGAGGTTTCCCAGTCTCCAAGCTCATGGGAAAAAAATATTACAAATCAAATCAAAAGAAAACATTACAGAGGCTGGGGAGTGGCATTATATCCCAGCTGCCTCACAGATAGTAGGCCTTAGTGACTCTGATGGAACTCAGTACTGTAATTCAGATTCACCTTGAATTTACTATGTAGCCCAGGCTTCCAGGTGTGGCAGTGAGTGCATCTCTGTAATCCCAGATCACCGTGACTTCAAGGCCAGTTTAAATTACATAGTGAATTCAAGGCCAGTCTGAAATACATAGCAAGACCCTGTCTCAACCAAAAAAGAAAAAATTGTGTAACCATGCTGGCCTCAAACTCAAAGCAACCCTCCCGCCTCAGCATCCCACATGCTAAGATTACAGGCATGTACCACCACTCCCAGCTAGTGTATTAAACAAATAACTGGCTTATTGTTTTCCATCCTCACTCTCTGGACAGTAAAGCAGAAGAATCTGTTAGACGTCATTTTGTACCAAAAAACAATGTTTCTTCTGCTAAGAAGTATGAGAGATGCCAGAAGCATAAGCCAGGTGTGGTGGCACACATCTGTAATCCCACCCTGGGCTACATAATTCAAGATCAACCTGAAATAAATGGCAAGACCCTTCTGCAAAAGACAAATAAGTAAGAGATGCCAAAAGAAATACTTCTGAGCTATAAATAATATTTATCTTCTAGGTGTTGCCCATTTTTCTTCTAGGTTCTGACTTAAAATTATTGAATATACCTGAAAGTCAGAAAATGAAGTTTGGCCCCACAAGGGCGAGAGACAACAGCATTGAGATGTATCAGACCTAGATAAATGATGAACTTTTGAGTTCTTCTCTGGTGTTCTACACAAGTGTTTGGTGATCATACATTAAAGATACAGCTATCTAATAAAAGTGGCAACTTGAAAATTAAAATCTCAGAGAGATGTCTGTCTCTGTAACTGAAGATCAGTCATATCTTTAGAATTTGGGCTAAGGATGTGGCTCAGTGGTAGAGCTCTTGGCTTGCATGCATAAGACCCTGGGTTTGGTCCCCAGCACCACAAATGAACAAAAAAGAATTTAAGTGCTGGGCATGGTGGCTTATCCCTGTAATCCCAGCACTTGGGAGGCTAAGGCAGGAGGATCAGTTGCAAGTTCCAGACCAGCCTGGGCTACAAAGTGAGGTCAAGGCCAGCCTGAAGTAAATAGCGAGACCCTGTCTCAAAAAGACAAAAAAAAAAAAATAAGAATTTAACTCCTTACACACTGAAAATTTATTTTTTTGTATAACCCCTGAGAAATGAGGAAAAGAAGATTATCCATTAACTAAGACTCTAAGCAGCCGCAGACCTTTTTATACTCTTAAAAATGATGCATCATAGGCTTAGCGGCATAAGCGCCTGCCTGACAAGCGTGAGGTCATGAGTTCAATCCCTGGTACAAAAAAAAAAAAAGGAAAGATGATGCATCATTATTGAATGCTTATTACAAAATTCTCTAGCTTCTTTGGAAGGATATAAAAGAAATAGAAGACATGATTCATTATCATAAGGAATTTATGGGTGTAATTTTTTAAATATACATACAGTATATAAGAATGCTTTATTCAAAAAAAATCCTTTGCTCACTGAATACTTAATGCATTTATCCTATTTGTGTTTTTCTCAATGACTCCTTTTTATTAGGTACCACAGAAGCAAGTAAAGCCATATTAATTTTTATCCTCTAATGTACATTGTATAGCTCAAAAATATTGTTGAATTGATGACTAAATAGAATACAAAAGAAGAGAAAAAGATCAGTATAAATTAATTGTAATTAGTACAGAATTACTTGAAGGAGTCACTTTCCTGGAGAGTCAGTTCTCATATTCTCCTTACTTGTGAAACTGTTGACATAGGAAGTATACAGCAGTGTCTATATAGAATGTCTTTCGTACAATTAGCAAGTGTTTGTGTGCACTGTAGTACTAAAGCTAAGGATTAGAAGTCCATACTTGGTGTTCTGCCATACACAGCAGATTCCTCCAGCAGACCAAGAGAACTTAATTGCAATCCTATGACCTATTGTCAGATGTGGTTGCTTTTATCATTAAAAGGCACTAAGAACTGTCTCTTTTCCCCCCTTATTTCCTTGCAGATTCCAGACCCTCAAAGACTGTTGCTTCTTTCTGCTACCGAAAAGTTCATTTTTTCAACTTACCTAATTAAAGAATGATAAAAATTGTCTGTGACTTTCAAACTGACAAATGCCTTTCTTTTCCCTCCACTCTTTGAGCCCTCACTAATTTGATAGAAGAACCTTCATACTCAGAACATCTTCTAAATACTCTTATTTTCGAATCCTCAGGACTGAATGTTTGCAACATAGGTTAGATTTGTTTTATTTATCTGCCTACATTCCAGCTAAAAAATGTACTAGCTATCAAACTAGGCATGGAGTATATAGGGATGAATATTGGAATGAAAAAGAGGAACAAATGTACATGTAGAGAAGAGAGATAAAACTTTCTACCTGTGTGTGAAGACTGATTAACTTCAGAGTTTAAATATATGAGGGCATTGGCAATTGCCCTAAGATGTGTATATGATAGTTTACACTAGAGAGAATATTTTTGGAAATATTTGTCAGTATGCTTTATCAAAGTCCCTCTTTATATAAGATCCCTTATCTAATTAGAGTATGATTAAATAGTTTAGATTTCTGAAACACTGAAGCTTCTGGCTATCCTAGCATCTTATGGTCCCTTATAAGGAAACTTCATAATCTCCCAGACCAGGTTTTGTGGGAGTTTCTTTGTTGCTGCTGCTGTTGTGTTTTTATCTTGTGCTAGAGCTCAAAACCAGAGTATTGGGGCTGGAGATTTAGCTCAGTGGCATAAGCACCTGCCTTGCAAGCCTGTGGTTGTGAGTTCGATCCCTGCTACTGGTAAAAATACAAAAAAAAAAAAAAAAAAAGGTATTGTGCATATTAAGTGCATGCTGTACCTCTTGCCTTTCAAGCCCATTTTTGGTTGTTTTCACTTTAGGTCAGGTTGGTTTTAAAACTGGCATGGAAAAATATTTGGGATCTGGTATAGATAGGCAGTTGGATAAGGCATACTGACAGGTAAAAAAGGGTCATGGACTTCTGAAGAATGTCTCTTTCCTGGAGTTTTACACAAAACAAGATCCTGTCGTAATGAAGCAGAGCTGTCTTATTTAGTTCTAGACTCTAAAAATAGGTCCAAGATAAAGCCCAATACAATATTCTTTCTACTCATAGCTCTATGGTCTTAAAGGAATAATTAGACTCTTCTGTAGAGGGTGTAATACAATATGGGGAGGGGGACACCATATGTCCCCAGTTCACACCACTTACGTTTCTGCATTAACATGTCACAGTCAGAGGGATATAACTCAGCAGCATAAGCGCCTGCCTGGCAAGTGCAATGTGTTATAAAAGCTGAATTTTTTTTTTTTAATACTGGGGATCAAACTCACAACCTCACACTTGCCAGACAGGCACTGTGCCGCTGAGCTATACCCCAGCTGAACTTTCTTTTAAAGTAGTCACATTACTGGAAAATATATTTTGGTAACAACAAAACACAACTCTCTGTATTACACTACTCCGTTGCTTGTAATCAAGAGATCCTAACTGGTTTAGGAAAAGCAACTCAGAAGGACTCTTACTGCAATACAGTTCAACTAAGAAATCAAGTAGGAAATAGTTACCTTGTATTTTTTAAGTATCAGAGCAGAGTAAACTAATGTCTATAGTTCCTGAAAAACTTCCTTGTTTTAGGAAAATAGCTCTATGCTTATGAGTACTAAAATTTAATCACAAAACCTTTAGGAATGTGACTAGCACTCACTATAACAGAGAGTGCCTGCAGGTTTTAATTTTGGTAACTCACCAGATAGTCTTGTTGCTTTAGTTTCTTTTAGCTGCCAGTTTGTCTGATTCACAAACTTTAAGAGACTGCTTACAATTTTTATTGAGCCTGTGATTTACTAGTCTAAATTTAGTTGGCCAGAAATATTCGAAGATTCCCAAAAGCTATTGCAAAGAAATGGCTCTATCTCTGCTACTTCTGTCAGAACCTGGGAGGAGCAGCTTATTTTGGGGACCTTCTTATTTTTTAGGATCTTTTTCAGAGGATCCCCTTCCTATAGAGGGTAAACAGTGGAAGGCAAACAGTTGAATATTCTGCATCAGTTTCAGTTAAAGTCAAATGTTATGGTTAAAGGTGGAAGCAGGCATGTTTGAAAAGCTTAACCTAAAAGAGCTAAGCTCTATATTTGGTATTTTTTTTCGGACGCTTATGCCACTGAGCTAAATCCCCAGCCTCTACATTTGGTCTTATCCAGGACTTCCATACTCTGCCCCAAGGAAAGGCATTGCTTTTTAGAAATTGCCTTTCTCTGCAAGGATTAAGTGCCACTGTGATTTGCCAATGTTCTCACCAGGAATAAAGAAATGTAATTGATAAGTGATGCTTAGCTCTCCTGGTAGCTAGCTATACCTGAGCTAAAAAGAGAATATTTGAATTTAATTTCAAATCATGCACTGTAGTACTCTCTCATTGATAAGGCAGAATGTTAGCTGCTTGTGTTGGTCTCTTAGACAAAATATATAATCTATGGTACACTAGCATTCTTGGAGTCCTTTGCTTGTTCTTTTCATAATTCATATTATGTTCCAGAATAGGAAAAAGGGTAACATTTTTCTTTTTTGTTGGTACTGGGAACCAAATTCAGGACTTAAAACTTGCCAGGCAGGCACTACACCACTGAGCTATATCCCTGGCCTAACATTTCAGTTTTTTAAAGAGACAGACTATGGTGGCTCAGGCCTGTAATCCCAGCACTCAAGAGTCAGAGGCAAGAGAATCACTGAGAGTTCAAGGCTGGCCAGGGCTACATAGTGAGACTTTGAGGAAACTTGAAAATTTATTGGCATATATACACATTTACATAATAACGAGATACAAGTTGTTTGAAAAACTTAAAAACTCCACCATGCTCCTTAATCTTCATTAAAATACTTGCCACTGAAATAGGTGTGCTTTTTCACATTCATCTGTTTCGGTTCAATTTCCTCAGACTTGGGTTGGAGGTTTTTTATTGGACAGCTCCTTGTGTCGTTTTTTTTTTTTTTTCTCTAGAGCAGATCCTTTATAGCAGAAGTGCAAATTGAAAGTGATGGAAGTCAAACATGGTGGCACAGACCCGTAATCTCAGTACTTGAGAAACTAAGGAAGGAGAATTGTGATGAGTCTGAGGCCAGCCTGAACTACATGTCAAGACCCTGTCTCAAAAAAAAAAAAAAAAAAAAAAGTGATGGAAAGTGTTGATGTTGCAATTAGAAATTCTACTGAGCTTTTGTTAAGTTGGAGATTTCAACAGACGAGTCTGTTTTTTAGCTTTATGAAACTCTTGAAAAATGAGCAATTAGAAACTCATCTTGCCTAAGAAAAAAAAAAAAATAAAAAAATAAAAAAAAAAAAAAAGAAAAATGAGCATTGACATGAATCCCCTAGCTATGTAACACTGATGTTCATCTATCATTATGGAATTGAAATAAAGTTTGGAAAATATTAATCTGGAGTTTCATCTTACATGTAAAGGGACAGGCCCTGCACAAATACGATACTGTGACTTTTCTAAGAAAAGACCATGCAGGTTCTATGCTTTATCTCGGTGGTATTCCTCTGGGACTTCAAGTAACATTGTTTCCTGGAATGCTTATGGTAGGAGCTATGTCAGTGTTGTGCATGAAAGAATCTTTTAAGGTCTCTGTCCTCAAAAGGTCCTGGGCTTAATAGCACACTTTACCCCTCACAAGATCACTTTTTTTTTTTTTTTTTTTTTTTTTTTGGTACCAGGAATTGAACTCATGCAGATGCTACACCACTGAACTAAATCCCTGGCCCCTGGTCACCTTTTTGATATTATTCATTCAGTCACCAAATCCTGACATTTATGTAGATAACTTATCCAGCTAGCCAGTTCTTTGTATTTCTGCTACCTAGACGACGACAGGCTCCTAACTAGTCTTTTAGCTGATGTATCTTCCCTGTTTCATTCCATCAACCTTAGCACAACTTTCAAGATACTTAATAATCTTTTCCCAATTTACTTAGCAATAGTAACAGCAAAGGTTTGGGGTTTTTTTAGCACTTAGTATGTCCGAGCACTGTACAAAACACTTTATCCACATATCATATTTAATTCCACATTGCTCAAATAAGTAGCTCCTACTAGGTCCCCACATGGTAGATAAGGAAACTGAGGGTTGTAAAATTCACAAGATTTGATCTGAGTTTCTTGGATACTGTGGAAGCTACCTCAAAAACCAGTAGTCAGCCCCACTAACTTTCAGTTGCCACAGGTTTATCTCTCCACACTGTGATAAGGCTTAGTAACTATTGTGTAACATATAGAGGGAAGCAAAAGACCAACAGAAACCACCAGGTTTGTGTAAAGACAACATGGCATGGAATACATTGTTCCTAGGTATAGGCAGGCAGAGATGATAAAACCATCTGCCCTGAACAAAGAAAAATGTGTCCCGGGGCTGGGGATTTAGCTCAGCAGCATAAGCACCTGCCTTACAAGCAGGCGGTTGTGAGTTCGATTCCCGGTACCGATAAAAATGAAAAAGACAAAAAAAAAAAAAAAAAAAAGTGTCCCTTTTATAGAGATGGAAAGAAAGGGGACATTAGGCAGGAAGATCCCAATAAACATCTGGGCTCAAAGTTCACTGGCAGGGGCCTGGGGATTTAGCTCAATGGCATAAGCGCCTGCCTTGCAAGCAGGCAGTTGTGAGTTTGATCCCCTGAAAAAGACCAAAAAAAAAAAAGTTCGCTGGCAGTCTTGTACCTCAGTGGACAAATTCCTCAAAGGTCTGGTGTAAATTTTTGAGTGTCCAGATGTCCTGAGCCCTGTAAAATTCTTTGTCCTATCTTATTTCCTTCATGACATCCTGTGCTTACTGATGACGACTTCGGTACTGAGCTGAATTCTGTGAGCGGTGTCTGCTGTCAAACAAGTTGGGGTCGAACCTTACGCATTCCACCATATATCTTATTGCCACCTTCTGCTTAACAAATTTTTTTTTCTTTTTTTCTTCTTTTTTTTGGTACCAGGAATCAAACTCAGGACCTTGCACTTTGCAGCCAGGCACTGTGCTGCTGAGCTAAATCAGTTTAGCTAATTTCTACCCCAAGTTACAACTCAAAGCATTGCCTCTTTAGCTACCCTTTTCAGGCTCTCTGTTCCATACTCATCTCTCTCCATACTTTTTAATATCTACTGAGTTGTAGTATAATTGTCTTCTAAATGCCTGTATCAATCAATACTTAGAGAAACAGACATCACATAGTACTTTAAGCAGAAAAGAAAAATTACAGAGAGTTGTATGTTTACAAAATCACATGAATAGCTGAGGGATCTGGCTGGAGGTGGAGCCTCTAGGGATGATTTCCAGAACACTACTGGATTAACCCTCCCAGGGTCTATGGCCCGCCTAGTGGCCACTAGAATCCTGAGTTTGAGAAGGAGCTACCATACTGCAATCCCACAGTATACAGTGTCAGACTTTTTATAGAACTACTGACGAATGTAAACATCTGAGTGTGGTCAGTTGAGGGAAAAAAGAAACTGGGTAATCAGCACCCGAAACTTTGAGAATTTGCTCTATAGTGTGTTGAGGTTTTTGAAAGTTTGCTTTTCTAATAAGATTGAGAAGGTATCGGGTGGAGGGGTGACTGGAGATTTGACCCAGAGCCTTCTCACTGAGCTAAATTGCCAGCTAAATTGCCCACGCTGACCTTAAACTCAAGATCCTACTGTATGATCCTCCAGGATTGCTGGAATTACAGCAGGAATGTACCTCAGTACCCAGCTGTAGTTTTAGTTTTGTTTTTAAGGAGATGAGTTATTTTAAAATTCAGAGGACTAGAAAACCATATGCCAACACCCCCCCCCAAAAAAAATCACTTTGTTGGTATAGTACTTGAGTAATAAGTAGAAAGTCAAAAACTATTTGAGAAAAATATGTGCGTGGTGGGGCATGCCTATAGTCACAACACTTGAGAGGCTGCGGCAGGAGGATCACCATACGTTCAAGGCTGGCCTGGGCTATGTAATGAGACCCCCTCTCAAAAAAAAAGTCATTAAATTAGTTAAAAGGTAACATTGAAGTGGGATCAGAACAGATTTAATCTTCAACCTAAGACTAGCCCGAGGACCTTGGAAATGTCAGTTAAATCTTCTGTGCCTCAATCCTCTCTTCTATGAAGACGTGCTAGAACTAGATGATCTTCAACCCAACTCTATAATTTTGGTTGTTTAGTTATTCAACTGAAAAAAATATTTTTTGTTTTATTTTTGAGACAGTTTCAATATATAGTCCAGGCTGGCCTCAAATTCACAGTAATCCCCCTGCCTGGGATTATAGGCGTTTATCAGCAGGCCCAGCGAAAACTGTATTTTATGCAGAGAATTATGTAACCATTTGTGGAGCTTTTGCTCATTATGTAGAATTTTCTTCTCAACCTTAAAATATTCCCTGAGACCATCCAAGTGAGGCAAAAGAGGTAGTGGGAGGAGAATGTGCCCTTACCACACTGAAGCAAATAACTTTTTTTTTTTTTAGTCCAGGCTGACCTTGAACTCACTGTATAGCCCAGGTTGGCCTGGAACTCACAGCAATCCTCCTGCCTCTGCCTCCTGAATTCTAGGATTATAGGCATAGGGCACCACAGCTGGCCTCCAGATAGTCTTTTTTTTTTTTTTTCTTTTTTTTTTGGTACTGGGGATCGAGCTCAGTACTGCATGCTTGCCAGGCAGGGGCTTATGCCGCTGAGCTAAATCCCCAGCCCCAGATAGTCTTTTTTTTTTTTTAAACACATAGATCAACTTCCATATTCCCTAATTTTTCAGTTTGAGGTTTTGGTTAATCTGTTCTTAGGAGTTAAGAGGGAGAAAAAATTCTTCAAAGAATCATCACTGATTCTTGGAGCTCACAGCCTCAATAAGAAGTGCATTGGAAGCACCCTCCAGGCTACATTAGCTAGGCCAGAGATTAAGCAGAGCTTTCTGCTAGGTCCCTGCAGCTGCCTTTGGACTATTTGAGGCACTTGCTGTGTTTTTTGGCCTAGTTTTTTTTCCTTTGGTTTTTTGTTTTGTTTTGTTTTGTTTTCCTTTATGAATTGTCCTTCATTCTCTTGCTTTTCTGATGTAAAATGCTTTTCAGAAAACCATTTCCAGACAAACCCTCAGATGTTGGCCAAAGGTCAGTTTGCCAGACTAGTTTTTTGTTGTTATTTCCCTCAAAATAGGAGACACCCGGCAGCGACTAGTGCTGGCTCCAGAGAACACTGTGGTGTTCAGGGGCTGTACGCAGGCCTTCATTTCTCCCCTGCTAATATGCTTTCTTATTTTGCCTCAAAGCTTGTTTACCAACTGCAGCTTGGTCCCTGGACTCTCTTCCCTTCACCCCACCCCTACATTGTGCATTTCAAAAGGCAAAGAAAATAACAGCTTCTTCCCAGACCTCTGACTACAGAATCACCAGGGCCAATGTGTCAAAAGGAGCAGCCTTCACCAAACCTTTGTACAGGTTTTAGGTTAGGGAAAAACAAAAGCCACTTAACACATAACTCTGTTTCTTTTCTAAGGACTTGTAACAGACAGGGCCCCAGGGCTGCCTCTCCTTGATGCTGGCAATAAACTTAAATAGCAGGCTTTAGTTCTCAGTCAAAAATGGTACAAAGTCCTCCAATGTGTTATATCTATTGCTAGATAGAGCCAAATTAAATATGATGTACACATGAAGATTTGTTTTAGTTACAACCCTACCCTCAGGCCATTTATAGTCAAAGCTGGTTTCTCAAAGCATCGTCCAACCATCACCTACATCAGAATTATGGATACTTATTTTAAAATGTAGATTCCTGGGCTTTGGTCCAGATTTCTTCAATCAGAATACATAGAAACAGGATATGGGAATCTATTTTTCACAGTATACCTTATATTCACCCCAATGCACAATAAAATCCCTAAAACCACATATTACTTGAATAAGAGCTTTTTAGGAATTTATAAGAACTGTAAATACAATATTTAAATCTTTAGCGACCCAGGGCCTTAGTCCACATACTAATCACAAAGTCAAGGATATAGCATAGCACTGATTAGCAACATAAAGAAAATAAAGGTACAGTATCCCTGTCAAAAAATCCTCTAGGGGGCTGGGGATTTAGCTCAGCGGCATAAGCGCCTGCCTTGCAAGCAAGCAGTCCGTGAGTTCGATCCCTGGTACCGATTAAAAACGAAAAAGACAAAAATAAAATTTTTTTTAAAATCCTCTAATAAAGCTGAGCGTGGTGGTGCAGGCCTGCAATCCCAGCACTCTGGAGGCTGAGGCAAGAGGATCAGTGCAAGGCCAGCTTGAGCTTCAGAGTGAAACCCTGTCTCAAAACCAAAAAAAGTTTAAAAAAAAAAAACAAAAAAATTCAAATCAAAACC